CAGCCGCTTTTCCGGAAAAACTTGCCAGCTGTCTACACTGGCCGCTTGAATTTCCACAAAAGCACTGACTTCCTACTGCAAGAAATCAGTGCTTTTTGTGGAAATACTAAGCTGCTCCCGTTTGGGCAAAAGTCCCTTTTGCGCAAAACTTTTGCGCAAAAGGGCCAGTGTAGACAGCTCAGATTTGTTTTGCACCAAAAAGCCCCGATCGCGAAAATGGCAATCAGGACTTTTTTGTGCAAAAGCGCGTCTAGATTGGCCACGGACGCTTTTCCACAAAAAGTGCTTTTGCGGAAAAGTGTCCGTGCCATTCTAGATGCTCTTTTCCGAAAATGGTTTTAACGGAAAACTTTTCCGTTAAAAGCATTTCTGGAAAATCATGCCAGTCTAGACGTAGCCAAGCTGCTAAGCTCACGACAGGGGTCCCTGAATGAACTGTCATGGTCTGAGGTACACGTGTCAGGGGATAGAATTCCCGACAGAGATCTGCCCTGCCCTGGGTCTTCACTCTTCAGGCCCTAATTGGCTTGGAGTCTGACTGACTTCACCTCGGCAACCATCCTTGACTGAACACAGGGAACATGAGCTGCTGGCGTGACCAGAAGCTCCACATGAGGAGGAGGAGCAGAGTTTCAGGACAGCTAATGCAGTCTGGCTAACTTGGCTGACCACAGATTTAAACGTGAGGTAACGGCACATGTGGGTAGATTTCCCCACAGTGCATGGGGATCCAGGGAGAAGCTGCTGTTGTCGTGAGGAGAAGAGACCTCCTTTCACCACAGGTGTCATGGTGGATGTATGGGTTCAGCAATTCCCCGAGTGCCAGGGCCCGAGCCGGGGTTCATTCCCCAGTTCAATGAGGTTAGCATTTTCAGATTACTGGCCGAAGTTCATTTGTGGACATCACCCCTGCAAAAAACACCCTTGCGGAAACAATCCGGTGCTCATTTGGCTTTTTAAGAAGTGGCTATTTAGCCACAAAAGCCTGGTCTATACTAGGACCTGGGTTTGAAATTAGCCCCCGAGGCTGAATTTGTAAACAATGCGTCCACACCACCAAGCCCGTTATTCCGGAATAAAGGGGCAGTGGAATTCGAACGCTGTAGTCGTGCTTTTCACGGGGAGTAACGTTATTCCCGAAGGTGTAAGTCCGAAATAACGCGAGTGTGGATGCTCCAGTGCCGTTAATTTGGACTAATTGTCTTCTGGGAGGCCTCCCGCCGCTCCCTGGGGCTCTGAGTCTGAGGTAGCGCGTCCACATTCACCGAGCCCACCTCGGACGACATTTGATGCTTCCCCGCAGTGAGGACACGGGACTTCGAATGTGTAAAAGCAGGTGCCCAGAAGTCGAGCGTAGTAAATTTGAAATGATCTCCGAGCGTAGCGATGGCCAAATAAACTGTGTGTTGTGACAGCTGCTATCACAGAAGACGCGAGTGCCGTGATGGGAGATACTGGTAGGGTCTCCTATAATAGCTGGTGCTCAATATTATAATGGCGGGAGCTTGTTAAAATCCCCATTTCCAGTTGCTCCAACTTTGTCCAAATGTAACTGTTGGGGCTGAAACGTTCTATGCGGCGGACGCACATAGAATCGTCGAATCCAAGGGTGGGAAGAGGCCTCAGGAGGTCACCGAGGCCCAAAGCAGGCTGAGGAGGTCTAGAAAATGTCAAAAAACCAGGGCAGCAGTTTCTCAAGAGGAGCTTGAGGCGAAATACGTGGCTTTGCCCATGATACCACCCCATTTTGGAGCAGCCATTTCAAAATTGGCAGAGGAGGAAAGGGAGAGGGCCGCCCAATATCGGACAGGTGCCTTCCACCCCATCGGTAAATCTATTCAACCTACAGGCCTTTGAAACCCTCCGTTTGCCCGTGGCAGGAAAGGCTTGTTAGAGTGAGCCAGCTAAATTCCCTGGAGCGTCTGTCTGCCCTGAGATGGCTGCAGCCGAGGGTAAAATGGGCAGTTCCTCTGGTGGGCAGCCAATGGCTGATGAGGGCGGCTCACAGGAGCTGAAATCAGGGGATTCTTCTTAGCCTCTGATGTTAGGACAAGAAGCAATGGGCTTAAATTGCAGCAAGGGAGGTTTAGGTTGGACATTAGGAAAAACTTCCTGTCAGGATGGTGAAACACTGGAATAAATTGCCTGGGGAGGTTGAGGAATCCCAATCACTGGAGACATTTAAGAGCAGGTTAGACAGACACCTGTCAGGGATGAGCTACATCTGTGGCGTCCAACCAGTTCTGAAGCAGCAGCCACTAACCAGCCACACGAAACCAGCCGAATAACCACACTCTGGGTACGTCTAGACTACAGGGTTTTGTCGACAAAACTTCTGTTGACATAGAGCGTCTAGACCAGGCATGTCCAAAGTCCGGCCCCCGGGCCAATTGCGGCCCGTGTTCCGGTTTAATATGGCCCCCCAGGTAATTTGGCAATATCTATCTTTTATGGCCCCCCAATGAATCCATATGTATTGAGATGAATACATTGTAAAATCTCAGTTAATGTCAGTTGGTCTAAATCAGTTATCAATATATTTGGACACAACATGTATACTTGGTGTTATGTTCCTGTTCATATTTTTTGAACTTAAAAGTTGACAGACAACCTTTATTACCAATAATATGTACTTTACAATGTTCCTGACATATATTTCAGCCTACTGGATTTTTTTTTTCATCTGGCCTTCAGATATGAAAGGCAGAGTGATTTAACACTGTTTAGATTTGTCATCCATGTGACGAAATGAAAAGTATGCCGTTTGCAATAAACTTTGCATAAAATAGTTAATTTGCATTTAATTTTAATGGTTCAAAGAATGTCAGGCAAAATGGTCGGCCCTCACGCATGTTCACTTCATCAAATCTGGCCCTCTTTGAAAAAAGTTTGGACACCCCTGGTCTAGACACATTCAGTTCTGTCGACAAAGCAAGCTGCTTTGTCGACAAAACCCTGTAGTCTAGACGCAACCCTACAGGCGATAACACCTTCTATCGACAGAACTCTGTTGACAGAAGGTGTTATGCCTCGTAAAATGAGGTTTACCAGCGTCGACAAAACTGCTGAGTTCTGTCGACGTTATGTCGACAGAACTCAGTGGTAGTGTAGACGCAGGTATAGTTTTGTCGACAAAAGTCCGCTTTTGTTGACAAAACTCAGTAGTCTAGACACACCCATAGAGTCATAGAACCATAGAGCTGGAAGAGACCTCAGAAGGTCACCCAGTCCAGCCCCCTGCTCTAGGCAGGACCAATCCCAAAGCTTCTGTTAACAAAGAGCGTCTAGACGACAGCCGCTTTGTCGACATGACAGTGTAGACGCAAAGGACAGTGTAGATGCAATAACGCCTTCTGTTGACAGCACTCTGTCGATAAAAGGCGTTATTCCTAGTAGAATGAGGTTTACCACCGTTGACAAAACTGCCCAGTTCTGTCGACGTTATGTTGACAGAACTCAGCAGTAGTGTAGACGCAGGGATAGTTTTGTTGACAAAAGTCCACTTTTGTCGACAAAACCTTGTAGTCTAGACACACACTCTGGGTCTAGACGGTGCTTGCTCTTGCCATAAGGGCAGGGGACTGGACTCGATGACCTCTCGAGGTCCCTGACGGTTCTAGGATTTCTCGCAGAACCTGCAAGGCAAGCCGTGCACAAGCCTGGGGTTTTCAAGGAAATAAAAGATGGTCAACAGGTTTAGTGACTGGACTGCTGCCCTGGAGAAGTGAATTCTATCCCTGCCACCGATTTCCTGTTGGATCCTGGGCATGTCATTTACATTAAACTTCCCCCCTTATTTTCTGCATACCTGTCTGGAGACCGCAGGATCTGATGTGCTGCACATCTACTGCAATAGCTGAAATCCACGCGACTTGTACCTTACACATAAAAATACAGTGTACTCTGACACAGTCTGGCCCGCGGTGCCACAAATTGGGCACTTAAAACTCTGGCCGATTTGGGACCCTAATCCCTAGGTCTCAGGTCCCCGTCTGTACAATGGAGATGCTGCTACCTCCTCCCCTCCATTGTACCAATAAACTCATTACGACTCATGAAGCTCTCTGGCAGCCTAGCGGGGAGCGCCAGGCAAAGCCCCGGAGGAAATTAATCATACTGTCGCCCCAGCAGCGGTTGAATAATGAGCAGTAAATAAGGACCGTGGAGAAGGATGAAGATAAAACAAACTGTTGAATTGCGGCTCTTCATTATTAATGAATTACTAATTATTGGCAGTATTTATATCAAGTTTTAATAACTAATCATAATCCCACTACAAATGAATGGTACTGTTGATCATTGTTATTGATTGGTTATTAGTAATTAATTCATTCATGGATGTATCACGCTCAAGACCACCAGCTCTTGATCCATGATTGGGGCTCCTTTTAATAGGTAGCAGGTTTAAACAACCAAAAGGAAGTTTCTCTTCATACAGCGCACAGTCAACCTGTGGAACTCCTCGCCAGAGGATGTGGAGAAGACCAGGAATTTAACTGGGCTCAAAAAAGATCTAGATACATTCATGGAGGTTAGGTCCATCAATGGTTATTAGGCAGGGTGGGCAGGGATGGTGTCTGTAGCCTCTGTTTGTCAGGGGCTGGGAATGGGTGACAAGAGAGGGATCGCTTGATGGTTCCCTGTTTTGTTCACTCCTTCTAGGGCAGACAGGACACTAGGCTAGATGGATCTTTGGTCTGACCCAGTCTGGCTGTTCTTATATTCTCCTTGCACTACTGCCTTATGAATCACAAGGAAAATCATTCTTACTCTTCGGAGCAGACCTGCTGGGAACTCTCATATGCCCGCCCAGAGGGCTGTTCCCGGGAGACGTGTCAATCCCTTTGTGACCTCACAGGCGCACAGCGAGGAGGCGGAGACACACGTGACCCAGGACCAGACCCACTGTAACTGCGGCGATGACTCAGACATGTAGCTGAGCCACTGGGAAAATGTGGCAAAAGCGGTTCCCGAATTACTCCTGGCAGATGACATGACATGACTGAAAACAAGGTAGCGCTGGAAATGGCGGACTCCCTCGTGGCGCCGGGGTGTATCGAGTCTGCCCATGTCTTGCACGATGCATCCGGGACAGTGGAAAAGGCATTGCAAAAGGGACTGCGGGGATGAAAAGCCCGGGTGTGCGCTGTCCCATGGTGGGATCCTGTTGCTTTCCACCCGGTAGGATACGTCCCAGCAAATCCCTCTCAGATTCTCCTCTAGACTCTTGTGTAGCCTGCGCCTTTTGTCTAGTGTCTCTGGGCATCGCTGGGGCTTTCTGCAGGGCAAAGTGTTCTGGGGAGCATCTGACGCAGCGGAAAGCGGGCGGGAAGGGGAGGCCGGAAGGTGGTGGTAGGACAGGAACATGGCTGCTCCCTGGGGGAGTGCCTCCAGTGGATGAAGGGAAAAGAGATGGAGAAGGGCTGGCATTTCCAGGAGGTTGGGAGCCAAGGGAGCGTAAGGTCATGGTGGGAGTGGCAGAGAGCCTGGAAGGAGGAAGTCCTACACAGATGGTGCTTCTGCAGGAAGTCCACAGTGGGTGAATGCTTGGGTAGACAAGGGGGAGAATATGGAAGAAGATATCAGCAGTGGCTAGGGGTCAAGAAAGGAGGGGAGGAAACACAGTGGGACTCAAACGTATGCAAGCCCAGAAAAGGAAGATGAGGCGAGCAGGGGGTGAAATGTAGGAACGGAAGGGAACAGAACAGAGACTCGTCATCACATTATTTGGCTTAGATCTGGGAAGCACAGGCATTGGTCCTGTTATTTATATTCCAGGCGCAGACACAGGGTCCCAAACAAGCTCACAACTCTGTTGTGCCAGGCACCACGGCACACATACCATCCTGGAGGGCTTGGAGTCTAAACCGACAACCCCCAAAGGGCAGGGAAGTAGAGGCATAAGGTGAGGAAGCAACTTGGTTAAGGTCGCAGTGGTAGAGTCAAGAATAGGACCCTTGTTTTGAAAGCTCCTGGCCTTGGATCATGCTGCCGGGAGGAGGTAGAGCCAAGAATAGGACCCTTGTTTTGAACGCCCTGGCCTTGGATCATGCTGCCGGGAGGCACATACAGCAGGGGAGAACTAGACTGCCAACTGCATAGGTTCAGTTCTAATTCTAAAGTATTAAAGAGAAATGATCGTTGCCTGCAGATTTCTGGAGTCCCTGCAGCTGCCGGTGAAGAAACAGATCATTCCTGGTACGTGACACCCCTTATTGTGCTAACTCTGCATTTTGTCAGCCTGCAGACAAGCCCTCCTGGCACTGTTCTACTAATCTGGCTGCCCCTGGAAGCTCATGGTTGAAGCTACCCTGATTTCTCAGCCTGTTCCCCCCATCCTCTCATTCACCCCGCTCCTCTCTGCAGAACATTGTCGGGGGTTGCAGCTTTCCATCACACGCAAGGAAATTGGGGTAGTGGAGGTAAATCTCTAACGATCTATCTCTTCCATCTCTTCCCCGCCAGTGGTCTGCTCATTTGCATACTTTAATTCTATTGGTTAAACACATGCCCCACCCCTTTTCGCTTGTGATATATAAAAACCATTCTCTTTAGAGGTTTGTATCCCATGCTTTTCCTTGTATTAGCTGACTGTCTCCATGGTATTTAAGAGCCTTTGATTCATATTCTTAGCGGCATCCCCCTTTACAATAGGTTGGAACAGAACCGTAAAGCGATGGCGTCTGGACATAGTTCAGGGTGCACAAAATCAAATTTATAACTGAGCATTATTAACTGGCCGTCCATGTCTTGGACCGGACATAAACACACATGGCTAGGAAAAAAACCATATTCTGAGGGTTCTAAGTAGCCATGTCTCAGGCTGCACTTACTTCTCGCAATTAAAATTGAACTAAATCCCAACATCCTAACAGCTGCAGTGACCCCTACAATGTCCTTGCCTGCTGTCTCTGAGGTTTCTAAGTAGCCATGTCTCAGGCTGCACTTACTTCTGGCAACTCACCGAACACGCGCCTCGAAAGGCTTTGGAGACTCGGTGTCTCTTGGCTCCGAGTCGGGGCCAGGTACCACAGTGCGGTCCTGGAGCTGTAGACCTGACGACCGTTAAATTCTCCAGCACAGGGTGCATTCTGGGAAGAATTCCCAGCCCATGTGATCACTCAGACATAGAAGCTCGGCATGATAAAAACGGTGTTCGGAGGGAAACCAGCCCGCCCACCGTGCCTCAGAGAGGGAGTGGCTGCAATTAGCTCCAAGTTCACAGACGCCTCCTGTCATGATTCTGAGGGTTAGCCAGCAGCCTGGGGATTAAGGGGTTAACTACACCTAGCCTTAGGGGCCAGTCTAGACGTAGCTCATGAGTATATTTTGTTACCTTCCCATCTAGTCATTCTGCTTACAACAGGAATATTGTTGTAATAATAAAAGTTCTTTTTTCTTTTTATTAATCTGGCAGTGGTTAATTGTGTGCCCTGATTTTTATTTTAGGGGGAAGATTTCCCAAATGATCTTTCCCCTGGTTTCTTTAGCAACATTTGGGTGGTGGCAGCAGAAGTTTTATTCCCAAGATCTAGGTTTTTAAGATCTTGGGGGAAGTTTTATACCAAAGCCTGGTAGATAAGGCTTTGGGGTACATTTGCTGGCCCCCACTTCTGCATTTATCATGCCAGAGTGGGGAAGGAGCCATGACACCCCCCACCAGCGGAGTGTGTTTGGGTTCCAGTGTGTGTGTGCCAGCCTCAGCTAAGATTCATCAAAGGCCAGTTATGTGGACTGGGTCACCCAGCTCCCCCCACACCCTTGCTGTCCCCTCAGGAACTCCACCGATAGCCCCCCTACGCTGCAGATCTGGTCTACTGAGGTCGCCCTGTGGTCATAGTGGCTCTCCTCTGGCATGCAGGCTGGCCAGGCCCCTCAACAGGCAGGAAGAAGGCTGTGCCTGCTCCTCCATAGGGCGGCACCCCCTACGGCAAAGGGAGGTACGCCTCCTCCCACTGCCAGCCCTCTTAGCTGGCAACTCAGAGCCTCCATATTGCCCCATGTGGTAGGTAGGGGACCTTGGGGGTCTCCTAGCAACCGCCTGTTGGGGAAGAGAAGCCTTCTGCTGCCTGACACGCGGGTGTCACACTGTGGTAGGGGGTTGCCCAGCTATCGCGCGAGGTTGTATGGAATCCCCACAGCCAGCCCCATGGCCAGGGGAAGGGTTTCCCAGCTGCTGTTGCCACGTTTCCTCACACAGGCCCTTCCAGGGCCTGAGGCACCTGTGGTGCGCGGTGAAGAGCAGAAATGAATGCCAGTGGAAGCAGGAGCCGGAACGAGTCAGAGGCTCTGGCAGTGAGCGGTTGTTCTTTGGCGGGGGGTCGCTCTCCTCTCCTCTCCTCTCTCCCACGCCCTGGCGCCTCTCTCCACACCGTCTTGCTTTCCTTTGTTCCGTATCTTCCCCCTTCTGCCTCCCCGCATTCAGCTCCTCTGACCACCCCATTCCTCTCCCTTCCTCCTCCACAGGCTTCTTCTTTTTGCCCCACCCCCACAGTCTCTTGCCGTCCCTCATCTGAGGCGCCCAACATTTTTCCTCACCTCCCTCTCCCCCCAAACTATCGATATTTTCCCCTCGGCCCCTCCCCGTTCCCCTTGAGTTCCATTTCCTGCCCCTCAAGTCTAGCCTCTTCCCCGAGCCCTGAGCATGGGGTCGGGTAAGACTCCTTTGGTCAGCACCTCCAGGCCAACCCACTACCACCTCCCTCTCTGAATGCCTCATTCACACTGTGCTCTCTCAGCCCTCTTCCCTTCTCTCCCGGGTGCCATCAGCAACCCTGGTTTTCCCTCAGGGCTTCCAAGCACACCAAGGGCAGCTTCCCATACACACAGATTCCCCCCATCATTGCACGGATCAGCCAGGGGCTGGTTAGACCTTCACTCTTCAGGATCTATGTCCCTAAATCATAGGTCACTCTCATTTCCTTCTGAAGTACAAGGATGTGGGGTTTTCAGGAGCATCCGTGTGGTTTAACTCTCGCCCCTTGAGTACAATCAAACACATCGTTCTATGTCTCCAGGCATTTGCTGAACCCTCACCCGTGTGGTATCTGCATGGGGTTGAGTTTTCTGAGGCTACCATATTCTTTTGTACCCGTGATAGGGACATCTGGAGAGCAGCAAAAGATGACTCGGTCTTCCAAACGTCTGTGTCAGGAAAGGAACAACATCAAAGCTAGCATTGGAGATGTAAAGAAAGCCACGAGCAGCATGGAAGCGGAGCTGAGCAGGTAAAGGCAAACATCCGGCGCTGTTAGATGAACAGCCAATCCAGTGATGATACACCCACACTTACCAACAACTAGACAGGTCTTGACAAGACTTGATCTACACCTTCCCTGACGAGCTAAGAGAAGAGGGAAAATTTGGGAATAGTAGAAGCTCACTAGGTCAACAGGCCTATCACTTCCCCCTGCCTTTCGTTTCCTTCTATTAGTTTCAAGAGTATTTCCTGGACACTCACTTTTCTCTCAGGAAATGATGCCTTGAGCTGTACACAAAGACCACCAGGCCATCAGCCCATCCTTTCTGAGCAACAGTCTCACAGCGTCCCGGGCGTGTGCGCAGAGCATGCAGGAGATCAGGTCTGGGAGGGTTCCGATTGGAGAGTTAAGCTTCTCAGGGATTTCCGTCGGCACTGCGTAGTGCTGGGACTTCCTGAGAATCACAGAATCCTAGAACATTAGAACTGGAAGGGCCCTCAAGGGGTCATCGGGTCCAGTCCCTGCCCTCATGGCGGGACCAAGCACCATCAGAGCTGGGCTCCTTCTCGTGGCCTATCCTGGCTGCTTCAGAGACAGGAGGAAGAACCCCTGCCGTGGGCCATGAGGGGAAGGTTTTCTCTTACCCGCTGGTATTTACAGGTTATTGACAAGCTGCCAAAAATCACAACTGGACTTGAGTCTCCTCTGCAGAGGTAGAACGGTCCCGTTTCCATCTTCCTGCACCTGCGGGCTCAGCACTGGGCACCAGGTCCATCAATGGCTATTGGCCAGGATGGGTAGGTCCCTAGCCTTTGTTTGCCACCATCTGGGAATGGGGGACAGAGCAGGGATCACTTGATGATTCGCTTTTCACTCCCTCTGGGGCACCTGGTATTGGCCACTGTCGGCAGACAGGACAACAGAGCTGGATGGACGTTTGGTCGGACCCAGCCTGGCCATTCCTATGTTCTTATGTTGTAATACTGCCCCCTTCACATCCCTAGGGTCCCCTGGCCTCAGCCCTTGCCGTCTGCTCCCGCAGCTTACAGGCAGAGCGGCCGGGTTGTAGGCTCCAGGAACAGGCCACCTGGGTTCACAGGCTGCTGCGTCTTCACTCGTAGTCAGTGCGTATCAACACCCCGGGGGGTCCTGATGACCAACAATGTTGCTTATCCCTTACATCATGCCCTGCGAAAACCTTCAGTCCCCCAACTCACCCCACTGCATTGAACTGTTCACCCCATAGACTCCCAGCCCTCCCTTCTCACCCCACAACCCCCAACGACTCACACTCAGCCCCCTATCCAGCACCCACACATTCCTGGATACTCATCAGCACCCACCCCACATCTGTCCCCCTCCAGTGCAGTGCTCTGCTACCTGGGGAAACTCCTCTTGATTTGGGCTCCCCGACGGCTCTGTTCACTGCCAACGCCCGCCCACCCAGCCCACGTTTGAGTGACAAGTGGCTTGTGACCTGAGGTACGAGCCCACAGAACCGCTCAGGTTTGGCCTGGCTGCTCATGACATGACGAAGGGGTAACCAGGCCAAACCGGAGCTGTGCCCCTGGTCTCAATACCACTCCAGTTTGGCCCAACTGTCCCTCTGCCCATAGTGGTGCAGTGGAGCCAAATTTGAGGGAGTGGGGTGGTGGCCCCCTGTACTCGGTGACATGCTTGTGGACCTCTCCATCTAGCTGGACCTCATCACTTTGTGGGCCCTGGTGCAAATGCAGCACTTGGATTGCTACCGCTATGCCGTGCAACATGGATTGTGTTACCATAGGCAGGTGGCAATTTCTGGGTTATGTTGTGGGCAAGCTGTGCACTAGGATGTGCTCATTCACTTCATGCACGACCTGAACATCTCCATCCATTACCTGGGAACCAATCCTAGGTCATACAGTGAGAGCCCAGCTGCTTGTTAGAGATACATTCACACCAAGTCATTAATTACACTTGTTCTCCTCCTGTGCGCATTCGTGTTTCCAACTTCAGTTTAGATTAGCAATACATCATCTTGACAGACCATGATACCGGGCAGCATTTCACCAAAATTCCAGGCACGGGCAAAGCTGTGTCAGCAAACAGAATATTCTCCTGTCCAAATAGCGTCATGGACAAGAAAAGCTGGACGCTTATTGTGTCCCAGAGACCACATTCACCGTCTGGGTAGGAGGGAGAGTGCAAAAAGTGGAAGTTATAGTGGAGTAGATAGACCTACGAAAAGATTTTTGGAGCGATGTCGCCATAACACATGACACCTCTACCCACGGCTGGTTGGTTCTTTCTTTCCTCACTGTGTCTGACTAGAGCTTTCCAGCAAGAGCTCCCAAACTTTTTGCTGACTTCTCCCATTTTAATGAATTCTTATCTCCGGGAAATACAGATCGCAGTGAGGGCACCATTTGCAGAGCAAAGTGGCACTCTCCATGTATCATAATCACTAAGGGTATGTCTACACTACCCCGCTAGTTCGAACTAGCGGGGGTAATGTAGTCATCCGCACTTGCAAATGAAGCCTGGGAGGCGTACAGCTAATTTGGATTAGAAGCCTAATCCGAACTAGCTAGTCCGTGCCGCGTGTAGCCGCGTGGCACGGAGTCCGAACTAGCCGGCATTTAAAAATGGCGCCGGCTGGCTTCATGCAAATGAAGCCCGGGAAATTCAAGTCCCGGGCTTCATTTGCAAGTGCGGATGACTACATTACCCCTGCTAGTTCAAACTAGCGGGGTAGTGTAGACATACCCTAAAAGAGAACGGTGAATCAAGATACACAACTCCAGCTACATTAATTAGGTAGCTGGAGTCGATATACCTTGGTTTGAGTTTCCCCACTAGCCCCATAGCCATCAGCTTCCCTTACTCCTTGCAGAAGCAGGAGTAGCAGCTGCCAATGGGGGCGCCCTCTGAGTGCAATTTAGGGAGTCTTAATTAGACTCGCTAAATCAAACTCCGGACGATCAATCGTGGCAGCGTTGATCTTCCATTTAGTGAAGACCTGGCCTCATACAGCATACAGGCAGAGTCATGCTGAGTGGCGTGACACAGCAACATCCACGCACAACCCCATTTGAGGATGGTGCGAACTCCTTTAAGAGTCACAAACCACCCTGTGGGAACTGATGCTTTTGAGGCTGAACATCAAAGGCACTTGTACGACTAAGGTAGCCTGCTTCTGAAACCTCCTCCCCTTTAAAGGATGCCGAAAGAGTCAGAACCACAAAGGATAAGCTGAAATGAAAAAATTAGTGTCACCCAGGGATTCACGCTCGAGCTCAGAATCTGTCCTTAGCAGCCCCATTACAACATTAGCACGCTTTGGATTATAATTTTATTGTCCTGAGTTTCTTCTCCCCTCCTGTGCTGCATCTAGGATAAAACAGGCAGAAACCATGAAAACGCTCTTAGAAGCAGAGCTCCAAACAGCCAAGAAAACTCTGGAAGAGGAGCATGTGTCAGCCTCAGAAAAGGAAATTCACCTGTGGAAGCTGGTAGTGTTCCATCGCACCTAATAATGGAATTATTCAACATTTCGTGTTTCAGTGAGATTCACAACAACAATGGCTAATGTTTTATTATTGTGTAGATTCCTCTCATAGGACACTGTGCTATTAACAGCAATCATCTTGTAATTCCCTTACGAAAGGTGCCTCTGCTTATT